CATGGTGTCTGCAGTAGTATTTTGCTATACTTAGAATAGGAAATAACTGTGGTATATCTGTAAATGCAGATGACTGTACATACAAATTCTATTTGTATGCCCTTAAATAGATTGTTAGTGACTCAATTATGAAAGTAGGACAGGACTGAAGGGTCAATTTAATAGATTGCGCATTCAAGTTCATATTCTCAGTTGGTTCCTGATCCAACCCATTTTATAACTCCAAAAATTGCATCTAAGTTAATTTAGGGTGGGGGAAGTCGTGTACGTGAAAGCAACTCAGGGTTGGGATTGAGGTGGAGCTGTCTCTGCTGCCATTATGCTTTTACATTTATTTTGGTGCATGCAATACATATATTCACTTCAGTTCTTCCACATCCATCCTTGTCTGAGTGGTAAATAACTTTATAATGCTGCAAACTCTGTTGGTAGAGGGCACAATACAAAGGGAATAGCAAAAGGATGCTTGGTATCACAGGAGTAATTATAAAACATCTGACTCCCTCGAACTAATGTTAAGTATCTTTCCGACTGCGTGGTAAATTCCTATATTCAAAACGTTGACTATTTAATGGTGCGGTCACTGGCAGCAATGGAAAAATTTGATGTATTTTAAGTTTGCCATAATGGGTTGTTGTACATTTATTTCAATAAAGTGATTATGACATGATCATCCCTGCCTTGCCATAGCATTTCTCCCTCAAAGTCCACCAGCCCATGTTTCCTAGCTCTCATGAGAATCCCAACAACCTTGTCTGAAATACGGACATATCTGTCAAAGAGTTCCCCAAAGGTGACTTGGATCTTGCCATCGCGCCTCAGCCGAGCCATTGTTGCAATGATAAAGCACATATCTCTTATCTCCCGGTGAATGTGAGTCTCCGCTCTCTTGGCCCTTTCAGCAGTTTTTGTTCCCTCTTTAGGACGACCATAGCCCTTATCTCCTTTGTGCAGGCGTGTCGACTGGGCCAGTTGGTAGTCAAATTCCTCACTGAAAGGATTCAGCTTCTGCGTTATCACATGCTGGTCTGCCCATTCTTGCCATCTGCCCTTCAGAGCATTAACAGGACTGTATTTCCTGTGGGCCTTGCTGCTTAGTTCTTCTGTAAACCTGCTTGCACTAAAAGAAACAAAGATGGGGCTTGATTTTTTTTTTTTCATTTCACCACTTTTAGGGGCTCGTTTGTTCTATTTACTGTTTTCTGTTGTAAGACACAACTTTTTCAAGTCCAGAGTACTAACCACTAGGTGGCATATTTTTACTAATTCTAAAGTTAGTTCTTCAGTGTAGGCGTATTAGATTTATCTATCAATTTTGTATTTAAAAGCCACACCATTCATTGCCAGGCTGATCTTGCATAAGACACCAACTTATACACTGGATCTCAATTTTGTTAGCCACATTTTCTGCCCAGCATTAACCCACTCTGTGGGTGCAAAAGAGTGAATGCAATTACCTCTCCAATTTACTTGCTCACTTAGCTATCCTTCTTGTTTCTGCTAGTTCATCGGGGCCTAGAAATTGAAGTGCAATTATTGGCACTTCAAATTTAGTTCAAGTGCAAATATTGCACCCACCGCTATTCATAATTGGAAAAAATGGGGTCAGTGTCTGAAAATTTGCCCCTTTCAGTCAATTTTGATTTGATTAATATAACAGGGTGCATAAGTATAAGACAAGTACTACCCCATACAATAGGAAAAGACTTACTTTTCATTTAAGCCCCAACTAAAAAATGTGACCCAACATTTTTATCTCATTTAGTTAAAGATTTTCAAAGGCCCAAAGGGCAGGAAGGTGGTGTCCTGACTACACTCTAATCCCATTCAACCTTGAGCCTGCTAAAAACATCCATGGCTACAATGTCATTCATAGGTATTGGGCCAAGTCCTGAGATGGTTATATTGCAGAATGCAAATCAGGGCAAATGTGCAAAATCGTTTAAATTCCCTGATGCTGTTACTACTCTGAGGGCAGCTCTAACCTACCTGGCTGCAACGGCCCAATGGGGCCAAAATGCAACCAAGTATCCCAGCCACAGGCGCTTCTCTTCAACCACACCTCCGCCCCTGCTCTGCTGGTAGTGGAGAGAAAGGGTGATTGGTGTAAAAGCCCCTATCTTACTTCTGTGCCACTGGAGGATACCTGGGGTGTGATCTCCCTGGGCCACTTAGGTTGATTTTTAGAGTCAGTTGCACCAGTGATGTGGTGTAAAGCACAGGACAGTCATGGCCATAATGATGTAAAGCACAAGCACTATTTTGCAATCATGGAATATTGTGTGTGTGTGTGTGTGTCTGTGTGTTGAAGGTCTGGAAGAAGTGTTACAATATTACATTGCAGTACTATCAGCAAACCAGCTGTGCAGCTTGTTGCCAGGTCAGCAGAGAAAACTTGGTGAGCTTTTGACTGAGTTATGGTTCTGTTGTCCTGTTTGGAGGCGAGCCCCCCACACAAAACGTGCAGGGAATTTGGCTTATGAAACTTGCAGTTCTCAGAAGATCCACAAAGGGCCCTAAACCTTTACACAGCATCCTGCCCAGCTCTGGCCCCACTGGGCTCCTTGACTGGCCACTTCCCCCAACTCAATAAAGAGGGTATGTTGTGGAGGGAAAACCGAGGTAAGTTAATGCTGACTAAGTCGAAAGTAATTTATACTGATGGTCTCAGTGCGGCTGAAGGGCAGCCCCCACCATAGAGGGTGTGTCTATACAGCAACTAGACACCCACAGCTGACCATGCCAGACGACTCGGGCTTGGGTTCACAGGGCTCAGGCTGCAGGGCTGTTTCATTGCTGTATAGACTTCCAGGCCTGGGCTAGAGCCCGAGCTCTGGGAACCTCACACCTCAAGCTCCAGCTTGAGCTCAGAAGTTTATACAGCAATGAAACAGCCTGAGCCCTACAAGCCAGTGGGTTTTCTTTGCTGTGTAGACATACCCTGAAAGTGGCTGTCCTTACTCATATGCTTAGCTTGCTTCGTCCCTACTCCCTTTGGAACTCTGCAAAACTCCTGTAGCAGGAATTTCCTGGGATCAGGAGAAGTGAAGGAGGCAGCATTGTTGAACTCTGCATTCTCTGTTCGTTCTTTTATTTACTTTGTCTCCTATATTTTCTGTTCCCACCTAGCTCTTTAATCCTCCTTTCTAACCAAATACTGTTATCGCCTTTCCATTCTAATCTTCTCCCTAGCTGCCTAGATTAGCACCACTTTATTTCACATTTACTTTTTACTCTCAAACCCTACATGGCTAGGGATAATCTAATTCTTACTTTGCCTCTTCTACATGCATCATACAGTTTAACCCTTCCTGCTTTTCGCATTTCTGTTTTGCCCCACTGTCTACTTTCTTGAGGCGTTAACCAGTAAATACACTGACTTCCAGTTTATTTTTTCAGATTAGTCTCTCCCTCTCTCTCTCATATGTTGTCAACTGCTTGAGGCAGAAAACATGTCATCTTCTGTGTTTGTACAGCTCCTAACACAATGGATCCCTGATCCAAACTGGGGCCTCAGGACACTACCACATTATAAGTAATAATAATAATAAGGCGTATTTGCAAGAACGCATTCTGTATTTCTAAGGAGACATTGTCCTTTGCATGATCTGTGCTGTCAATTCCCTCTGTTTCTTTGGGTGCCTAATGTATGAGAACTTCCATGCTCTTTTCTTCTGTGTGGCAGTTTTCATTACTCATGCACCACCAGTTTTGTTTCTAGGTACAGACTAAATATTATCATCCCAGAATGTAGAATTTGCATGCAGTCTGCTGGGAGATCAGTCTGACTCCAGCTAGAGTTACAGCTGGCATGGATGTGGGTGCTGATGTGAGAAATAATTACTGGCACTGTGTGTTCTCACTGAAACCTTCAGGGGAAACAGAAGACTGCCTTATTTAAAACAAAACAAAACCAAAAAATACGTGTGTGGTTGTTAAAGCAAAACTGATTAACAAAAATAGCAGGTTTTATGATATGTTCTGAGAATATAAATTTAAAGTGAAATATCTGACTGTTTTAAAAAAAATATAATCCTAAGAGCAGCACTATAAATGCAAAAAAATTATTCTTTCCAAGCAGATTTCAGTAAGGCAGAGAGCTGTAAGTAATATAAAAGGTATTATTTTACCCATTTACACCTCAGTATGTATGGTTAATCTTCTGTTCTCCCAGGTAACTGCATTAAGATTTGACATATAAAATATTCGAGATATTCAGGCAACCCCAGTAGAAAGATAGTTACTTCCTTGCTAGTTAAATTTTATTTTTAGTGAGCAGTTCATTTTAATTTGGGTTGGTTCCAGGTAGAGCTGGTCACATTATTAGTTGCAGATAACACCCCTTGCAAATTTATTCCCTTTCCATCCTGTTTGTGAATTGCCAGCATACTGATCCTGATTTCTGAGGCTGTACAATGCACTTTATTTGTATTATCTGATTACTATGGGTGGTCAGTTCTCAGCCTCTATTTGAGAACTCTTTCATATTGGCTATTAGCCATTCATTATTTGTGGGATGTGATTAGTCATCTGTATAACATGGTATTGGTCTGTTCCCTGATTGGATGACTGAAACAGAAGAAAGATGAACAGTGAATAAGGCCCTTCTGGTCTGAATTTTCAGAGCTCTGTTTGTGCTAAAATGTGTGAAATATGAACACTTCTGTGAATAACTGCTGATGTTTATAGATAACTAATGATGTGACCCTAGGGATAGCAGTGGAGCAGAGTCCATCGGTTTGTTTGCAGATGTATCAATGTATCTGTTTTGGCATTATTCCACCAGCTCTACTGCCAGGGCTCTAATTTCTGACATGGTGATTTGGATACAGTATGAACACGCTGGTCCTGATTCTCCACAGCCCTGGTGCCTTGTGGAGCTTTTTTACGTCCAGGCTAAGTGTGTTTAAAGTGGGTGTAAAATCCTGCTGTTCTGATTTAATAGGTTTTGCACTCAGTCTGCTCTTAGTTGGCATAGGTGTAGATGACAACACACGATGCGAGGCAGTGGAGACATGGCTCCTGATAGGAAAGGGCAATACAGGGCCAGCTGGCTCCCTTACTCCGTGAAACCTGCAACAGGAGGAAAACTCTACAAGGATCCACTCATGGATTTTCTCCCTCATTGTATGATCACAGTAGTCCCTTCTGGCCTTAGAAGCTATGAATCTATGAACATTCTTCCAATAGAGGGAACAGGGGTTGTCTTGTTGAATAAACAGTGAGGCACTGCAATGCTGAGCCCCAAACTGATTAAGGAGCCTAAATATTTTCAGAATGGACTTAGGCACTTAGGAACCTAAATCCTACTGAGCGTCAATGGGATTTTGGCTCCTAAATCATGAAATCCCTTTTGAAAATGAGCTTTAGGCTCCTAAATCAGTTGGACATTACAATGCTACATTTAGCAATGCATCAATACCTTTACAAATCTGGGCCTAAATTCTTAGGCTGGGATTTTCAAAGAGGCTTCAGGGAGTTTAGTGTCCAGCTACCATGGGACGTTTAATGGATTTGGGTACCTAAGGGTTAATGTTGTTAATGACTTTCAATGGGACTTAGGCTCCTAAGTGAGTTGTACACTTTGGAAAATTCTACCCTAAATCCTGCAGGCTTTCTTGCAAATCCCAGCCTTAGATGCTGAATTTGAAAGTGATGTCAAAAATAAGCTGAAGCTAAAAAGTACCCTAGGCATCTTGAATAATCTAGGCCAGTGATACCCAGACTGAGGCGCATGAGCCACAAGTGGCTCTTCAATGTATCTCCTGCAACTCTTCACAGCACATGATATTAAACCACTGTGTGATTTTAATTATTAACCAATCTAAGTTATTAACCCATCAGGATGCTTTTACTATGTTATTAACCAACTCAAGATGATAATACTTGATCAGGACATGGGCAGTGGGTGGAGCCCCCCTTTGGGGAGGCTAGCCCAGCTCCGCCCCTTCTGCCCATATGCCTCCACCCCAGCAGCTGGATCACCGAGACCCCAGGCCCTCCGGGGCCGGCCGAAGCCCCAAGCCGCCTTCCCCCCCCACACACACCTGCCCGGAGGAGTCCTGGGCCAGCTGCAGCTGCTCCGTGCCTCGCCTCGCCTCGCCTCTCCTTCCCTTCCTTCCCAGACCCTAAGTGGTGCGGGGAAAAGTCTCTCAGGTCTGGAAGAAGCTTTTGATATGTCCCATGCAGGTTCCGGGGCGGCTGAGAAGGCGGTATTTGCTACTCAGCTTCTTGGGTTCATCAGTAATCTCCCTGGACTCCAGGGACCCGGGAAGCTGAATAGCACATACTTCCTCCTCAGCCACCCTGGAACCTGCATGGGGCACAATAAAACTTTCCCCCTTAAAACCCCGCAACTGGGAGTCCAGCGGCCGCGGCACCCTGGCCTATTATACCTGCTGCCCATGGATCAGTCATTTTGCTGTGAGATATTCATTCTCTCTCTCGCTTTGTGTGTGTGTGTGTGTGTGTGTGTGTGTGTGTGTATATATATATCTATATCTATATATAGATAGATATAGATATAGATATAGATATATAATATGAATGAGAGAGAGTAAATGAAACAATGAATTCACACTACTGTGGCTCTTTGGGTCATGTTGATCGCTAATTTGGCTCTTCAACCACTGAGGTCTGAGTACCCTGATCTAGGAAATTCTTTTTCTCTGTTTCCCCCTCTTCCTTTTTCCAGGTAGTTTCTATTGCTATCCTACAGGTAGCAAGGAAGCTTATAAACCTTTGTTAAGTTTTTTCTTTTTAAGGTTTGCAAACAAGTCTAGCTTGCTTTATGTCTATATGCAGTGCTCTTCAGGTAAGGCAAATGTTTACAGTAGTATTTACTTTGTAGGAAGTACATTTTTAAATATATAAAATCAATTTCCCTCTTGCAGTCTCTGGTGTATGAATAGCTTGTTTTCCTGAAATCAAAGTGACTATATTGGAAGGGCAAGCTACAACCCAACTGTTTGCAGCCTTTTTCTGCAAAGTTTGCTCTGTGGGAGACCTTGTGAGGAGCTATTTGACATCAGGGCATGTCTATTCCTCTTGGAGCTACCTCTGTAGGCCAAATCCTGTTTGTATTGAAATGAATGAGAGTTCTCCATTGATTGCAATATCTGGATTTGAATCCCCCGATTATTTTGGTAACACGTGGAGTCAAAAATTTTTGTTTGTACATACAATTTTTGTTTGTAATCTTTAGACAGGAACCCTTACAAGGAAATATTAGTTTGGTGCTAAGATTTAGACTTGCTGTTTAATCCATTATAGGAGAGGTATGTTTTTCATAATAATTCTTTCCACATATATTTAAAATGAAAGTTAAATATGCTGCAATTCTTAACCTAAATAACAGATTGTGCTCTTTGTGTTTTCCTCACACCATGTTGCAGACATAAGGGAACCTCCTACACATCAGATTGTTTCTGAAGGATAAAACATTATTTTGTAAGATTTGATTATAGTGATTTTTCTGACATGCCAGGGATTTCACACTTGACAATTCATACTTGGTGTTCAATTCTGTAGAGAAAAGATACCAAAGTATAGTGTCTTTCTTGACTAACTAAATAATCAGATCAGTTCTATATCTCTATAACCACAGATGTTTGCAGCAAATGTAATGTTTTTGTAAATTTGTTTGTCTCCGATGGTTTATTTTATATTTACCTACTTTGTGAGCAGAATCCAGAAACTTGTATAGGTTCAAATTCAGTAAAATACTTAAGCACATGCTTAACTTGAAGCATGAATTTAAGCCTATCCCTATTCAGCCAAAGCACTTACGCCTAAAGGAGCCAAAAAAGTGGTCAGAGTCTTAACTATGGTGATTTTTACTTACATGTAAAGGGTTGAATTGATTTCTTTAATGACTGTAAATTTAGCATTTTTCATAGATTCCTAGACCCAAAGGGGGACCATTGTAATCATCCATCTATAACACAGGCCATAGAATTTCCCCTAAATAATTCCTAGAGCAGATCTGTTAGAAAAAATCCAGTTTTGAATTAAAAATGGTCAGAGATGGAGAATCCACCATCACCTTTGGTAAATTGTTCCAATGGTTAATTACCATCACTGTTAAAAATGTATGCCTTATTTCCAGTCTGAATTCGTCTAGCTTCAGCTTCCAGCCATTGGGTCATGTTATTCCTTTCTTTGCTAGACTGAAGAGTCCATTATCAAATATGTGTTCCCCATGTAGGAACTTATTAACTGTAATCAAGTCACCCCTTAATCTTTTTTTGTTAAGCTAAATAGATGGAGCTCATAGTCTATCACTGTGAGGCATGTTGTCTAATCCTTTAATCATTCTCTGGCTCTTCTCTGAACCCTCTCCAATTTATCGACATCATTCTTAAATGGAGGACACAGAACTGAACACAGTATTCCAACAGCGGTCACACCAACACATTCAAGTACTGCCATAGCCATTTCAGCCACAGTGTTCCAGTGGGACTAATTATCCACTACAACCCCCAAATATTTTCCTCCTAGTGTGTGCGCGTATATGCAAGAGAGTGGGAGTCAAATCTCAGTTTCAAAGGATTCTCAACCCAGCCTCCATTTTTGTGCATACAAGTTTGCATTCAAAATGACTCTGCATATTTCTAGCACAAACACGTGCATGCGGGTGATATACAGTCCATCAGGTGCATGCATAGGTCTTAGTGCTGGAAAAATTAACATGGGAATGGTTGCAAGTGTGTACAACTTTGCATCAAGGAGTCTACTTTTTAAAATATTGTCCTAGTCATGTCTTTCCTTCTAGCATCGATCATCTGTTAGGCTCAGGTGAGTGTATTCCAAATCATAAATGTCCTGTGATTGGAGGTTAGAAGGTGAACTTTGGTAGACCTTGACCTTTCCAACCTTTTCCTTGTTTATTTCTATTAAAGTTTGGAATGCTGTTCATTGCAAATAATTTATTCAATGAATTTAGCCCATTTCTCTGTTGATCTTTATCCACAGAGCGAGTTCAATTTTTAGCAATCTATTCAAGATTCAAACTTTTTTATCACATGGTTTATGTAGATACATTTCAGCCTATGACTTTGGGGTGAACTGTTTATCACAATAATCAATGAGTATTTTACTCATGCTGTGTGAGTAAGGATCTAAGTCCCATGGTATTACCTTTGTGAGTTTGAAGTTATCAAATCAGGGGTGGAAATGGGGGGCTGTCTTTTCTTAAAACTTTATAGTCTCCCTTTGGCCCTTATCCAGCTCCTAAAATTTTGGCTTCTCATTTTCTCCTCTCCCTCCTGGAAATCCATATCTGCCTCAGGGACTAACAACCATTTTGGTGCACTCTAATGAAGTGTTTGTTCACTTACAGTGATGGCATGGGTCGTTTAATCCTCGTAATGTGGTCAGCGTCTACTTGCTGGAGTCTGTCTTCTGCCTCGCCCCCATAACCACTGTCCTCCGTATCCATGCTGTCACTGCGACATTTATGTAGCTCCAACTCTGGGACTTTATCCTCTTGTTCCATCTGTTTCCAACCCTTGGTTAGCTCTGTCACCAGATTTGAGCACTTCCTCCGCCTTGTAGGAGACATTTTGTCACCAAGGATTTTGTCAAAATTACTTGACTCCTCCTTGCACCTGCAGATCTCTGGGCTCCCATTATCCTTCTCATATCTATCACTGAGGAGGCTAATGTCATTTCCTCTTTCATAGACTTTACTTACAACGGTTTTGGTCACTTCTTTGCTTTTAATGTTAAACTTTCTGAGAGCTTCATCAGATTCACTTGAATCTTTTTCTACATCCCCGTTAGCCACTACCTCCTTCCCTGAGGATTTTTCCTCGCCCTTTTCTTGGTCGCTCTTAGTGGAAACTGGCCATCTTGATAATAGCCTTTCTTTCGGTGGCTCAGCTGGTGGTTCTTCTGCATTGGGCATCCATCCTGAGGGCTCTTGGGCTTGCTTTGTGTTGTGGTCGCTTGCCCACTGTTGCCAGCCTCGTGCCAAGCTGATTACTAGGCTGGCGGTTCGGATCTTTTTGATGGCCCTTTTTGCAGGTGTAGCTTTTTGGCCTTCTTCTGGAGGCATGTTGCTGTCTGCTGCTTCTCTATCTCTTGTGGTTACCACCTAGTGAATGAATATCCTGGACTGAATAACTTCCAGAGGAGAGAGCTACAGGGATTTAAATAGAAGCAGGAGGAGTTTGTGATATTGGAAACTATGTGAAGCATTTCTCACAGATATAGTGCCTCTACTCTGACAGCATTCTTTTTTTAATACCTCTGGGCTTGCATTTTGTCTCAGCAGATGGACACTGCATAAGGTAAACAAGGATGACACAGTCTGCCTACTCTTCTGCAGCAGCCCCATGGAAATTAACAGCTCCTGTAAAACCCCTCTCTAGGGTCTCTTTAGTCCTGAATTTGCTTGACAGTAACCGGGTCTTACTTCTCTTACAAGTGTTTGTCCAATATCTTTGCCATAAGTCAAAGTGTTCAGTCCTACAAGGAGCTGAACCCCCTCAATTGCAAGTGACTTCAGGAGGAATAGAGGCCACACAGCACCATGTATAAAAACTAGCCTTAATCGCATCATGCTAATCTGGGAATTTTACCTGGGTAAGAGATTTTAAATATACTTCCTGAAAAGAGTCTTGGTAATTTTTTTAATGCACATTATGAATCATATCCAAAGGATTTCAGCATGTTTTCTTTAATTACTCAAGTATTTATCCATTATGTCATTGTCTATTACCGTTTGTCTGTCTTGTCTATGTAGAATGTGCACTCTTTGGAGCTGGGACCATCTCATACTACCTTTGTCCAGTGCCTGGCAAAAGGGGGCCATGAGCCCTGATCATTACAAATATTAATAATAATTGTGAGTACATTTGAAGGATACAAGATCTTGTGTTTTTAATCAGAGTTTTCAGAAGAAGAAGCTGCCGCCTCTTATTCCTGAAGATGCAGATAAAATCTAGTATCTACAGGGAAACCCCGCTATAACGCGCCCCGCGATAATGCGAATTCGGATATAGCGCGATCATAAGATGGCTCCCGCCACCCCAAGTGCGCAACAAAACAAAACAAAAAAACAACACACCGGCCGGAGCGCCGCCAAAACACCAAAAAAAAAAAAAAAAAAAAAAGGAACATGCCTTCCCCACTGCCTCTTCCCCCTTACCCCTGCTTCTCCTTTTGGCGGGAAGAGCCATTCTCCTCCCCAGCTGCTCCTCACTCTTCCTCTGCCCAAGAGAAATTGACCGGCTTGAAACTGACCGGCTTTAAATGGTAAACTTTTCGTAACCCCACTATACCGCGACCCCGCATTTATCGTGATAGAATTTTTTGGACCCCAATCATCGCGTTATAGCAGGGTTTCACTGTATTTGGTCATGGTATAGTAGGATTTATACCTCTGAAGATAGGGTTTATTTGTTTGCCTGGTGAACAACAGAGATTTTCTCAGATAAAGCCCAGTGGTATCTTGTTTCCTGGTACAATGTTTGCTAAGTAGAAAAAGAAAACAGTGTCACTTTTTTCATTCCACATGCATAGCAATTTGCAGGAGGATCTGTCATACTTTCCAAGTGACCCAATGGGGCAAATTCATCCATGGAGGAATTCTGTTGAATTCCCTGAAGTTGTAACAGAAATAAATTTGGATTCAGAGATGTTCTACTTGAAAATAATAATCTGGGCTAAATAGATCTAACTGAAAGTCAGGGAGCAGTTGGAGACCTTTGTCTTTAATAGTATTGTGCCACTGGTTTTTAGAGAGAATTCTTCATTAGTCTCAAAAAGGATTTCTTCTTAAACATTTATGGCAGGGATATGGCCAAGTATTGCTATTTAATATTTGTCCTTATTTTAGTCTGAAATTTATGACTTCAGTAACAGGATAACTTTGTAACTTAGTATATTTGCTTCAAAATAAAAATAGGATAGCATTACAATCTGTATTGAAACAACTTTACTAAAGCGTACCGTGACAAAGCTCCAACCTTATCTCAGTGGGTCCCGTGCTTCCAGGCTGATTACGCTAGCCTCAGAGGCTACCTGTGACCATCCATGTAGCCCTTCTCTCTCTAGAGGCAAGGGTCACAGTTTACTGAGCCATTTTCATCATAAGCCAGCAAGGGCGGTGAGGAGAAACTACCCTCCCTCGCACAGTCTGGTTTTTCCATCTCAATGATTAATCGGGGAGGAGAGGCCATAGGCGCCAACTTTCCCCGGCGCTGGTGGGTGCTCGCGCCCCCTCGGCCCTGCCCCAACTCTACTCTTTCCCCGCCCCTGCTCCACCCCCATTCCAACCCCTTCCCCAAAGTTCCTGCCCCTATTGGACCCCTTCCCCAAATCCCCGCCCCAGCCCCGCCCCTTCCCCAAGCACACCACGTTCCCCCTCCTTCCCTCTCCCTCCCAGCTGCACGACCCTCTACTCTGGGCTCCAGCCCAGGGACCCTAATAATATCAGCTATTGGTAGCTGACTTTTTAGAAACAAGATGAGTACAATTCCCTGGGCCACTTCCCCACATCAGCCCCTACTTCCTCAATATCTACTTCACCCTTACCTTAGGGCCTCCTTCCTTGTGCCTGGTAGGATTTGTACTGCTCCGTTTGTCCAGCAGCGTGGCTTCCTCTTACAGCTCCTGACACACGTGCCCACCTGACTAACTGGGAGGCTTTTAACTAGTTTCAGCCAGCCCTTGATTGGCTTCAGGTGTCCCAATCAACCTAGCTGTCTTCCCTCCTTTCTGGAAGGATCTTAATTGGCCCCAGGTGTCTTAATTGAGCTCGAGCAACTGCCATTTGCTTACCCTGGTAACAGGGATTTGTTTAGCCTGGAGCTAATATATCTGTCTCCCACTACTTTCCTATAGCCATCTGGCCTTGCCTTATCACATATCCCCCCCCCCCTGCTCAACACCATCTTGTTGGGCAACTTGGGACACCAGGCAGTGTGCTCGTGACAGACCATCAGTGTTGCCATGGTGGCATCCAGTCCTGTGCCATATGCGGAACTGGAATGGTTGGCGGGATAAGAACCACCTGGTGCCCCTTGCGTTCTTTTCCTTTTTCTGCTGCATCCACTGGAGGGGTGCATGGTCCATCACAAGAGTAAATTGCCGGCCTAAGAGGTAATAAGCAGTGTCTCCATGGCCCATTTCACAGCAAGGCATTCTCTCTCGACTACTGCATATTTCTGTTCTCTTGGGAGCAGCTTTCTGCTTAGGTAGAGGATCGGGTGTTCCTCTTCTCCCACCATTTGTGACAGAACCACCCCCAACCCCACCTCAGAAGCATCTGTTTGTAAAAAAAATTCCTTGTTAAAGTCCAGGGCTATGAGTGCGGGATCATTAAAGAGGGCCGTCCGAAGGTCTGTGAACACCACCTCTGCTGGGTCGGTCCACTTCACCATGTCTGGACCTCGGGCCTTTATCAGGTCCATTAGGGGACTTGCCCTAGTGGTGAAGTAGGGAATAAAACATCGGTAATAGCCTACCACACCTAGGAATGCGCGAACCTGCTTCTGGGTCGGCTGGGGCCAGTTTTGAATCACCTCTAGCTTATTCGTTTGGGGCTTTACTATGCCCCTTCCTACAATATACCCCAGGTACCTAGTCTTTGCTAGCTCTATGGCACATTTAGCAGGATTAGCAGTGAGGCCAACCCGTCTTAAGGTGCACAGTACTGCCTCAACTTTCTCCAAGTGGTTCCCCAGTCTGGCGTATGAAAGATGACATCATCTAGGTATGCGGCTGCATAACTAGTATGGGGGCACAGTAGCTTATCCATGAGGCGCTGGAATGTGGCCGGGCCCCCATGTAGCCCAAAAGTGAGAATGGTGTACTGGAATAGCCCCTCCGGGGTGGAGAACACTGTCTTTTCTTTAGCTGCTTTGGTCAGGGGAATCAGCCAATACCCTTTTATCAGGTCCAGTGTAGTCAAGAATCAGGCACTACCCAGTCGGTCAACCAATTCGCCGATGCGTGGTATGGGGTATGCATTGAATTGGGATACTTCATTCAGTCGGCGAAAGTCATTATAGAACCTCGTGGTACCATCAGGTTTAGGCACTAGAATGACTGGACTGGTCTACTGACTGTAAGATTCTTCAATAACCCCTAATTCGAACATTTTCTTCGGCCTTGATTTCTTCTCTTTTGGCTTCTGGGATTCGGTAGGGTCTCAATGTTACCTTGGCTCTGGGGATGATGCAGATATGGTGATAGGTCTCAGTCGTCTGCCCTGGTTTCATAGAGAACACATCTCGGTTGTGATTAATCATGTCAGCTGCCTCGATCTTTTGGATCGGCATCAAGTTGGGTGATAGCCTCACTTGCTCATGTAAGTTATCCTCCTGGGGAAGGGTCTCCTGGGTGACTAAGTATGCCTCTCAATTGTGCCAAGGTTTTAGAAGATTGATGTGGTAAATTTGCTCCGCCTTCCAGAGGCCTGCCTGCCGTACCTTATAGTTCATCTCCCCCACAGCTTCGATCACTTTGTAGGGTCCCTGCCACTGGGCCAACAGTTTACTTTCTGCTGTGGGCACCAGTACCATCACCCGATCCCCTGGTTGGAACCATCAAAGCTTTGCTTGGTGGTTATAATGGGTTCATTGGGTCCCCTGTGCTCTCTCCAAGTGTTCCTGTACTATGGGCATAACTCTGGCTATCCGATCCCTCATCTGCAGTACATGCTCGACTATGTTCCTTCTGGGATTTGGCTCCTCTTCTCTGACTATATCCAATATGCCCCGGGGATGGCACCCATATAGTAGCTCAAATGGAGAGAAACCCGTAGAGGCTTGTGGGACCACCCAGATGGCGAACATGAGGTAAGCTAATAGGCTCACCACTTTCCTATTGAACCTTTCCACAAGGCCATCTGTTTGCAGGTGGTATACAGAGGTCCGTAGGGCTTGTATGTGGAGCAACAAACAGAGATCTTTCATTAACTTGGGGTACGTCTACACTATCCGCCGGATCGGCGGGTAGCGATCAATCTATCGGGGATCGATTTATCGCGTGTAGTGTAGACGCGATAAATCGATCCCCGATCGCTCTCCCGTCGACTGCTGAACTCCA